TTCTTTTTGCTTCATATGATAAAGAGTATATATATATGACTTGCGTGACATGTCAGCAAGCGATCTAGTATGAATTCTGATGTGGACTTAAACTAGTTGCTAACTTATAAATAGAATCTTGCACTGATGTGGTTTTCGACCATATACACTCTAAGACTTAAATTAGTACGAGTACTAGTTGATGTTGAGTCGAGTTAAGTTTAATATCAAGAGATTTTTACATACTTTTGAGAAAGTAGGACTTTGTCTTTTTATAAGAGAACATTTAGAAATAGTGCCTCAAGGCATCCGTATCTATCATTTTTGTAGATATTCTGTCGACAATCAGTAGATTTCTTGTCGGTCAAAATCTTCCGGACACATTTTTTCCTCCTCGTCCTTACCGTATCTAAGATGAGGCTAAAACACATTGTGCCTCAACGAGGGAGGATTTCGAATTTGCACTTGATTTTACCCCTTTTCTTTTTCTTTTTTTTAGTAATCTTCTATCTATCAAATTAATATCCAAGTAATAAATAAATAAACAAGAGTTTGTTAAGTTTGATTTTGCCATCTCTCTCTTCTATCCTTGTTTGCACTAGGATTATTGCATTAAAATATTTTACCAAATTGACCTTGGGAGTTTGGAAAAATCACGAAACAAACCCATCTTCCTCATACGAAAGATTACAACAGCATTTTGCAAGTGGTCCAGTAAATGAGCAGGTAATTTAGGCCATACCTGGATCATGAAAAAGCGTTTCTTTTTGTTCTTATTAATTTAAAAGCTTATAAATTAATTATAATACTCTCTTTAATGGAGAGTGCCACCAACGTCAGGATGACTGCTCTATAACATAAGACCATGAACAATAATATTCTTTTTCACATTCAAAAAATATTTTAACATTTTTCTTATATTTTATCCAAATAATTTCAATTGGTGTTTAACCTAATATTAAAATAGTCTCTATACGTTTTAAAAATCATATTCATATTCGTACTCACCTCGACATTTAGATGGTGAATATCGTTGTCTCTCTTTCTTTTTGACGAAAAATTACCAAACTATAGAAGAAAAATGATATTAAACTTTCAATATCAACGATATTTTTTAGATTTTGTAACCAATGCACTACAAAGAAAGAGAAAAAAAAAAGAAAAAGAGAAAATATCGAACAATTTTCTACAAAGAGAAAGAAAGAAAAAAGAAGAAAAATATTTGTAGTTGCTAAAATTTTCCAAACATAAAAGGAACACGTCTCTGTAGCAAATTAAAGCCCCTCATGGTTGGGGTAGGAACTTAGAATATAATGTCGTCAACTGTCAAGAATCCCTTTCATGGACGACTTCTTTATTCACATAAATATATAATATATTCCCATTTTGGCATTTTCTAGTTAATTTAGTATGTTATTTTATTCTTTTTAAATAGAAAACAGCCATCGTTACATTAATTTTTCATGGCAAACAATTCTTTTATCCACTTAACAGATCAACGTAAATAATTAAAGGTTATTATAATTTGATTTTCACATTTAACAATATTACTTGACAACATCACCGTAGCTCTAAATGACAGAGGCATGATACTAATATTAGAATCCATATAAATGAATTAAATTTATCTTAAGCTTTTGGGTTGAGTGGTGGTTTATTCATTCTTAAGATGGTATCAGAGCGGGGATCATCAAAATAAGCAAGAATACTATTTCTACGAAAAATAGTATTTCAATCGAAATATTAAAAGAGAGCGGTAACTCTTTTTCTCATTAATAAATGTGGGGCCGCATGGGGAAAATAGTCAATGTGGCATTTTGGAAGACCACAGGGACGGAGTCAACCGTATGGACGCCATCCCACGATTGGATCTTGGATTTGGTGGGCCCCACACTCCACCTTTTTTTATCAATTTATATATATTTATTTATTTATTTATTTTAATGTGCCCTTTAATTAGTTGATTCTTCCCTCCCCATCCTAGTTCCTACCTTCATAGTTCATGTACTTCTTTCGTTGACTTCCACTCTTTTTTTTCCTCCAAATATATATTATTTAATATATTCTTCCTGAATAATTGTTAGATATAAATTCAAAATTTATCTATCCTCTGATAATAATTCAATATAAATATAAGTTTATAATATAGTTTTTAAATTATTTCTTATATATTTAGCAACATAGAACTGACAGCTACAATATTTCAACCCTTCAAATAATTTTTTATTCCTCTCTTTTTTGTTTTCTTTTACTTGAACTTGTTGACTTACACTTTTGACCGAATTCACACAATAAAAATATGGAAGATCTATGACACCTAAGAAAACTAAAATCAAAGGTAAACCCACATAAATTTAGCTTAAAGTGGACGATATACTAAATTTATGTGAATAAAATTATCTCTAATATATGGTCCCAAATAGACTTACCAATTTGAGAACATGTTTTTCCAAATTATAGTGTGCTACAATAGGGACTAGCCTAGACAATGAAAAAGCAAGAAATACAAGAAGTCCAATAAACACAACCATTTTTGTTTGAACATTGTTCATCCAACTTTTTAGTACATTTCCATTTCGATAAAAAAAAAAAAGTACTTTTTTTATTTAATTCAAATTCCATTTAGATTTTGTTACAAATAATATTAATAAACCACACACTCATGTAGTTCGTCAACTATAATAATACGTACGTATTTGTTTTAAAAATGATTTTAAGTTAGTTTATAAAATCTACAAACAATATCGTATTATTTGATTTTTTTTGTTATTTCTGATCAAATGTTCAGCCTTATCAATTTCTTTAAATACTAGTTTATGAAATAAAATAAATATGATCAATAGATTTTTACGAACCTCTTTTTGAAATATAAGAATATATAGTTTTTAAAATCTCAAGTATAATATGTAATTGTTTCATTGTTGCTAATTATTGTAAAATGTGGAGGGACCATCCTGTTAACTTATAATTCATTACATAGTCTTTTAAATTGATCAATTAATCAATTACTAAACAATATTTTTTTTATAATCTAGAGGTCCTTGACTTATTCAAAACATTTAATTTTATAAGTTTGTTTGATTTTTTTAGTTCAACATGTGAGTGGGGATACGAACCTACGATCTTTTAGTTGGAGATAGATACCTTAATCCGTTGAACTATGTTCAGGTTGACAGTTTGGTTGATTTTAAAATCGTATTTGTGCAATTTTGTGTTAATCTCCAACAATTATTGAGAGTAAGCAATTTTATCCTTAAGTATTTTATTATTTTTTAAAGAATCAATAGATTAATTTGACATCAATTGATTTTAGCTAAAATTTAAGTAGAGTTAACACCTTAGTCCTTACATTGTTTACTCTTGGTTGACCCATTCTTAAACATGCTAAAATTCTTGTGATGGGTCATATGATCATTGATAATTGTTGAAGAGAGTGGCATTATTTATTGCCTTTGAAATGATCAAAGTTGTGTGTAAGAAAATAACTTATCCATCGTAATTATTACCCAAATGAAAAATGATGTAAATGTGTGTGGAATTATTTTATTGTTACTTTAACTTTAAAAAGTTATATAATAAAGCTATAATTTTGAATAAATTCCATAGGTTTCCCATTTCAATTCAATTATTCCTAAAACTATTTCAAAAACTTTACTTTTCACTAACCCAACCCATTACACCAAGCATCATAATTATTTTCTCTTAATGCATTATGACGAGTTTAAATTTTTAATAATTACATTTCACTACCTGTGAGCTATCTTTAGCGTTAATGTTAGGACCAATAAAATATTTCACTCCAAATTTTCATATATTTAAGAACATAAAATTGTTTTTGAAAAAGTCAAAATCACTTTAAAATTCTTTAAGATTTGTGAAAATGTATTTTTAAATGGGTTTTTGTTCCATGCTCGATTGAAAAACACTTCAAAAAGAGATTTTTAGAAGAGAGAACCAAACATCTGTTATTTAACTTTTTTTACTAAAATGCTTATTCTTAAGTTTTTGTTTTAGAAAAAGAAAACAATTATTTTAAAAGCATAAAAAAACAGCTCGCTAATTTTTTAATCCAATAGCAAAACAAACCAAAAGTAATAAACCTAACAAACAAAAAAATCAATATTTTTTAAGTGTTTAATAATTTCTTTTGTTAAATTATAAATTTACTAATATTATTATTTATTCAGTCTCTAAAATTAAAAAAAAAATTAATTACATTTTAAAACCACATATTATATTTCATGCCAATATGAGATTTGAGAATTGAGATTCGAATATACACCAATGACTTTTCTAGAGAAATAAAAAATATTTTAATCAATAAAATCATTTCATGTATGTCCTATTAGTATATTATAAATTAGCTTGTTCATTAAATAAAATTTGGCTAAATTACTATAATCCAACTCATTAAAATATTATAAATTTTTTTCTTAAAAAAGCATGATGTGACTATATAAATATCTCAAAATAATCAATAAAAGTTTTGGAATTAAAACAAATTAAGAAAATATAGTACAAATACAATGAAAAAGCTACAGAAGGTCCAATGGAGATCCTCAAGGGCAGAGAGAGAAAATGGGAGGAGGGCATTTGTGTAATATGAACAAGAAATTAGGGCAAAAGGTTAAGGTAGAATCTTTAAATACCACTCCAATTCATGACCGCACTACTCCCTCCCCCATCTTCACTCCCAGAATTCAGAAACAAAAAACAAAACAAAAAAACGAAGATTATTAAGAAAAAGAAATGGGGAATTGCTTGTTTGTGGAGGAGAAACCGATCAGAATCATGAAATCCGACGGCAAAATCCTGGAATACAAATCCCCGACCAGAGTTTTCCAAGTCCTCTCGGATTTCTCCGGCGGCCACGCCATCGCCGACGCCGTTCCGGTCACCCACCATCTCCACCACAGCGCCAAGCTCCTCTCCGGCCATCTCTACTTTCTCATCCCGACCGATTCGGCTCCGGAAGCCGAGGAAAAGCCGAAGAAGGCGGTCCGGTTCGCTGTTCCGGAGAAGGAAACCGGCGAAGGCGAAATCAGCGGCGGGCGTGCGATTCGGATAAAGGTGGTGATGACGAAGAAGGAGCTGGAAGAGATGATTGAAAATGGGGGGATTTGGGGCGATGAAATGATGAGTAAGATTAAAAGTAGTGGAGAAATTAGTTGCAGAGATGAATTGGAAAAGGAGGAATTGCAGAGATGGAAGCCCGCTCTCGAAAGCATACCGGAAACTGAAATTGATTGCAATACCTAACTTCTTCTTCTTCTTCTTCTTCTTCTTCTTCTTCCATTTGATCTCTGTATTACAATTACAATTACAGTTTCTCTGTTAGTTTAGATATACACAGAGTAAAGTAAAAGTAAAAGTGTAACAAACTTCAAAGATGATGATAGAAAGCAACATAGTTTTGGTCACATAATTAACCAATTCTCTCTCTCTCTCTCTCTCTCTCTCTCTCTCTCTCTCTCTCTATTTAACTTTACTTTCTAAACAATTAGTAAAAGTTAATGTCATCAATTTAAAAGGGGGTGTTCATGTACTTGGGACGGAGAAGCCTTCTTCCTTATCTCATTTTTCTGTCTCTAGTTTTTTAGTACAATATGTAGAGGTGGAAGATTGAATTGATAACCTCTACCGCTGAACTATTCTCGCTTTTGCATAATATTTCGAGTTTATATATCCAAACAATGGGGTTGGAGACAAGATGAAGAGACTAAATAGGGATTCTCCACCGTGTAAGATAGATTTCACGCCTTCTAAGATTTATGGATATCACTGGATTGAATTTTATGTGATTTGATCGATTAGTTCATTCCTAATTTGTAATATTGGCATTTAAGGATAATTTTGAGGGTCAAAGTGAGTATAGCTCACGATGATTGACATATATCTCCAACTCCCACGTCCTCAGAAAAATCACGCTTTGTATCCTATAAAAAGTGACATTCTTTTTAAACACATTAAATTTATGCTATGAGATAAAATTTGTCTTAAAAACAGATTAATGTGTAGTTAAAGATTAGTGAAGAAAAATGTTGTTGGTGACTTCTGCCGATCTTCCTCATGCTCGTTAGTGCAATCACTTATCTTTCTCTCTCTTTACTTTTACATAATATAAAATATGGGGGAAAAAATCCTTTAGCTCCATTAAACATTAAAAGTAAAGGAATAATAATAATTATTAATTAGATAATAGGGTATGGGGAAGAAGGTGGGTTGGGTTGGTGTGTATTTAAAAGCACAAAAGTAAGATACAATCTAAGCTTCAACATTATCTAAATTCAAAAACCTTAATCAGCTGCTTGATGTTGATGGAGATATGTTTTGGATTTTGAATCTCTATGACTTTTTGTTACGTTGCTAGGCCCTTCCGACTACGAGAATTAAATTTGACAGAATTTGTGTGATGTGATAAATAGTGAGATAAACAATTAAAGGTTATTATAACTTAGAAGTTCATAGCAATTACGCCTTCAGACTTTTAAAATAACGAGCTAAAACACTAGAGTTGTAAGGTTAGAATATAATTGCTCAAGTTTAAAGTTAAAAAAATACAATTACAACAACTTTTATGGTTGTAACCAGGGCTCAAAATGTCGAGAGCCATGTCGACATGTCCGACATGTCGAAATGTCGACAAAATTTCGACTGTGTCTTTTTTCTCTCTCTCTTCTTCTTTTAAGGTTATTTTATTTTCATCCTCTTCCTACTATGTCATTATAGTCTATAATTTCTCACAASCTCGATAATTGTAATCTTTATCTGTTCAATGAAACATTCGAATTTTAATACTGTATAAAGTATAACTAATAAGATTTGGAATTTGCGATAATTTCTAATCCAATCTAGTCCTTACTCACACAATTGAACAATATATGTGAAATATTTACATATATAAAGATTGAAATAATCTTAGAATTTTTTAAAAATAAAATATTATTATATATAAATAGTGGTGAAACATGAAGTAGAATAGGTAACTTAATTAATACCAAAAAGATGATATCGGAGAATCTAGTACACTAATATCGGAGGATCTAGTGCACTATCTTGATAACTTTGATATAAATTACAATAGTTCTCCCCGATCATCCTAAACTGAAAGTTTTGAAGGTAGTTGCTCATCAGAATATGAAGCACATATGAATCTCATTGATACATAATTTGGATGAATGACACAATCACGAGGTTGAGGTGTTTGAAAATTGTGTAAATTTGATTGGGAAGTTGGATTGATGATTGATTTGAAAATGTGTTTGAAAAATGTGTAAATTCAAATTTGAAAATGGAAGTAGGTAAAAAGTAAACAGGAGTTAATTAGAATTTAGAAATGTGTTTGGAAACCAAGTCGGTAATTATCTCATTTCCAAACATTAAAGAAGTAGTCAAAAGTTTACAATTGAAGTTTACTTTACATATTCAAATAATTTCCATCAATCTTCATTAAAGGAAAAAATCTTTTTTCGATATTTCCATCGACATCGACATTTTCATAAGTAAAATGGTCATATTATTACATTTAATGAATTATAGGCTAATTAAGCTACAATTCAAGTTTTATTTACTAATTCAAAAAATTTCTATCAATTTCCACAATTTCCATTATTTTTCCCGAAATATCCATCGACATCGATATGTCCGTAAAATCGGAACCTCGACATTTTCATCGACATCGACATTTTGAACACTGGTTGTAACATGATTTTTACAATTTTTTCTAAAATTTAAATAATAAGTGATTTACCAATATTTAAACGTCACTCTTGACAATAAGATGAATTTGTAGTTTAAAATAGTTAAAATATAATTAAAGATAATATAATACTTTATCAATAATAGAAATTAATTAATCACAATTAAGCTTAGATATATTAATGATTTCATCCGTTGGTTTTGCAACAATTTCATTTTCTTACTATTTTTGTAAAATTAACTTACAAAATGTCTATACTCGAGAGATTAACAATAGAACGAAGAGATGATTAATGAGTCATATTAACATAATAAGACACTTTCATGAGTATAATTATTGAAAATTATGGCGATGGGTGTTCTATTAGCTCCATAATGGGCATGAGGGGTGTAGTGCTATTGTTTTCATCATCAAAATAGGCACTTAGTGTTTCACATGGTTGATCAAACTCAAATGATTAATTTCACCAAATTCATATTACCAATTTTCTTAATTTAAAAAATTATTAAAATTGGGTAGCATATAACTTCACGGATGATCTTAGGGGCGGCTCAAGGCAACACACCGTTTTCGAATAATTTACAATTTCATTATCATTTTAATAATCATGTATGCTAATTTGAGTATAACTCACCCGGTACTGTTTTATAGGTTAAAAAGTTTGGGACTCCGCCCTCACATTTGTGACGTTATATTTCGAAAAAAACATATTAGTAACTATTTTGTCAACATCTCATTCATGAATGGCTTGATCATTAAATAAATTTAAGGTCTTTGAGTGAACAAAGAACATCAAAGGCACCGAGTCTCATGGGTTATGACTAGCAAGGCAGCCCCCAAGTAAACAAAATTATGCAGCAAACAAAAGGGGGGGCACTAAACTGTTGATACCTTTTGCCTGGTATGCCATGCAACAACGTCCTTGTATGCTAAATTTCCCCCAAAAATATCCAATGCACTGCCCACGGTAACATCCACACGCCCCATTCCCGCGTCTTTTATCCTTTCCAAGTCGGCCATCGTCGTGACTCCGCCCGCGTATGTGACAGGAATCTGTCATTTTTATAGCAGAATCAGCATTTTGCAGCAAGACAATAGAAGGAAGTTGTATGTAATTCAGAAGTATGGAAACTTTGGCAGATTATTATCATCTGTCATTTGAGAAGATATGCAAACAAGGAAAGTAATTGTGAAGACGAAGTGAGGGAGGACACGAACCGATGAATACTTGCCGAGCAACGTCACTAGCTCTTCATCGATGCCGAGTCTACAGCAATGAAACAACATATTTCAGAAAATGTAAATGAATACGCACGCACGGAGAACATAGCAAAGCGTTTACAACCCACTTTTTCCCTTCGACATCCACGCCATGGACTAAAAACTCATCTGCATAGTCAGCCAGGAAAGCCAGTACTTTCTCATCAAGAAATACATCACTGAACTTCTGCCATCTATCAGTCACAATTGCATATTTACCTTCCTACATCAAAAGTGAATGTTAGTCAACACGTAAGCATGAACAACTGTTAACGAAACCGAAAACTGAAAAGGCAATGTTGAATCCAAAATGGAGCATGAAGGTGCTATAGATTTCAGAGCTGTTTCAATTCATTAATTATGAAATTGTTTTTGCACGATATTTGTTCGTTTTCAACAGCAAAGATGACGTTGCATGGTTGCTCGGACTGAATCCATGATAGATAACATGTTCACATCTAAATGGTTAACCATATTATGGGACGTTAATCAATCAAAACAACTTCAAAATCCAGCAACAATAGCACAAATAGAAATACCTTTTTTCTACAACTAAGATCCAGCACTAGCCTTTGTTTCCCAACAATGCGAACAAGATCTTTAAGCCTTGTAAGATCCATTTGTCCATTGTTGAACACATACTGCGGCAGAACCAAGGGATATACAGCATATTAAGTGGGAAGTTCCAGAACAGTGGCACCCAAGAATCATCAACTGAACTTTCTAATGACATCTTAATTATCTTCTATATTCTAGTACAACAATAACATGACACAGTTCAGCATCGAGAATTTCAGAATCATGTCACACTGCCTCCATTTGCATGAACATAAATCGGAAGGGAAGACCCAATTGAACGAGGACATATTAAGAAATATGAATGCCACGTCTCTATTTAAACCTCCCTCCTTTCTCCAGGGATAATTCACAAGTTTCCTATAATTCTCTGTGCAGGTATAATAGCGAATTTTTATGATTAATTTTTTCTTCTTAGAATATGCATGGCCTCATTAACTATTCATAGTTCATAGGGTATTTCCATCGTCCATTATTCTACAGTCTTAACAAAAGATAACAGCAATCCAATCAACTTTTTGACCAATCCGAATTATATATACTAGTTGAATTCATAAGTGTCATTAAGTCTGAAAATGATGAAATTTAGATGGAAATCAACAAAGACATTGGTTTATTCTCGTCGCTTTCCATAGGACTTCCCCAAAAAAGCACTGGATATACTATGAGCGACCCTTATATATTATATATATATATATATAAAGACAAAAAAAAAACTAACAGGATTGCATTGCAGTCAGGAGCTTAGCCACACACACAAAACCAATCTTACACTCATTAACCAAGATCCAAGCAAGAACTTCCATAACATCTGGCCATGCATCAAGTAAAACCATAAATGGATAAAAGGTAATAACTTACTGAAGTGACAATGACATGGCTAGCTCCCTTTTCAATATAACTTGAAGAATTTTCTGAATTGATCCCACCTCCAACTTGTAAACTGCCTACATAGTTTATCAGTTCTTGCATTAGATTAAGAGGAAGGTCCTGAAACTTTTAAATCTTTGTGGACCTCAACACAGACTATGCGTGAACAGAAATATCCTCCAAAACTTTTACAAGTATAAGAGTTCAAGGAAATTACAAATATGCTTCAAAAGAATTTTAATGGACCATAAAAAATACTAAGGCTCACTTGGATGCCAAGAGGAGCTAATAACATCAGTACAATTGAACCACCCTATCGACACAAACATGGAATCCATATGCCAAAGTAGCATGCTGTTCATTTAGACACACATTAATATGATAAAGGGAGAGAAGGAAATGAAAGATGTGCATCAAATATAAAAAGTAGAGAGAAGAAAAGGTAATTTAAGCCCTTATAAACCTTGAACAGGAAATAATAATAAAGCCCTCAAAAAGCCTCTATGTCTTTTCTAGTCAGATCTAGCCAACCATAAACTTGATTTCCTACATCAAGTTAAGCTTCTGAAATATATAGAAAAACTGTAACCCCCCACCCAAACCCAATAATAGAAAATAAAAAAAAATAAAAAAGAAAGAGGATAGGAACAAACCAGGATAGGCATTCAATGCTTCGAGGGCAGCATCTATGCTCAAAGGATCTGCTCCAAGCATGATGACATGACCACCTGTAAGCCCATCTTGTTTGTACAAGTTTGCATACTCAGCAGCTGATAAATCTGATTCAAAATTTGTGAGAAGAGTTGAGCCATCCTGCTCTGAATCCCGGAGAGTTGATCCAACAATTTGTTTCACTTTCCCCTTATAAAATCATATCTCAAACATGAAAATCAGATTAAGATCCGAGGAAACCCAATACTCTCCAACTTTAACCAATGAAACAGAGGCCATGCTGATTATTGAAATTGGTACTTAAAACAAGTGATTTGAATCACAACGCGTAATGGAAATCTCACTCGCTTCACCTCTCAAAAAATCCATAAACATAATAAAAATTTGTCAAAGTTAAGTGATCAAATACCTTGTGAATATCAATACAAGGGCGGAAACGAACCACGCAGTGAACAGTCATTCTTGAGGATCCTGCCCAAAATAAAAACGAGAGCTAAGACTTTTACAAGTTACAATAAATAACTGAGAAAGGACAAAGCCGGATTACTGGAAGATGGTGAAGGTGTCGCTCTAACGATTCCAAGCTTCATAGTTCCAAAATTGGTAGAGGTGGAAGCTCCGAGAAGCGGACAGAGAGTGGAACATCTTGAAGAACAAAGGCTTTGGAATTTCATTTGAACCTAATGAAGCTGATTTCATCAAATGTAGATAAAATCTAGATTAAAATGAAATGGGTATGATTGAAAGTTGAAATTTTTTCGAGTAGGGGAGAGAGGGGTTGTGAAAGATGAGACCAGTATCAGGTGGCGATTGTGCGACCGATGACTTGATTATGGCTGAAGGGAGTTGGCGGCAGTGAGCATAAATGGCTGAAGGGTCTACGTATTTTTTTTTTTTTCTATTTAACAGGGTTTGGGTCGGGTCGGATTGAACCGACCAAAATGCTTCGAACCGAGGACTGAGTCGAGTTTTCAGTTTTTTAAAAAACCAACTCAATCCAAACTGAAAAAAATTAAAAAGAAAAAAACTCATATTCTTTAAAAAAATAATAATAATACTACGGTACTACCCTTACGTTTGAAAAATACACACATTTTTGCACGGTTTAAGCCGAATGGATCACTCAAAAAAAAAAAAGTCTGAAAGGAGAGAAATTACGGAAGAATATCATTTTCTAAGGGGAAAAAAGCCCAATTATATCCAATTTTGTTCCATTCTCCACCATGATACTTTCTTCTATATTTCCATTCTTCTTTTATATATTTAATTCAGGCAAGTTTCTAGTTAACTGTCACGTTGTTCAAAATATAAATGAATGTTTGCTAAAATTGTATTTTTGAAACATTTATGAAAGGTTAAAGATAGTATTGAAACTTTTGAAATGATAGAGATATTTTTTTTTTAAATGACAAAATTTATGGATATTTTTTTATAATTTAGTCGTCAAATTATATGTGACGTGTAATCCACATGTCAAGTGGAGAATTAAATGGGGAAAAAGTCGGAGATTAAGGCATTTTACTTCTTCCCTGGAAGTCAGTGATTCGATCTTCCATCCCCACATTTATTATATTCGAAGAACGAAAAAAAACTAAACCGAGAAGAAGGCTGGAGAGCACGACAAGATTATAAAAGTGGAAGATTAAAGAATGAATAAGGAAGACTCACTGAAATAAAAGTTGCTCTATTATAATATTGTGTTTCTTGAAAAAATAACCCTTTAGAAAAAAGGGAAAAAAATAGCAAATTATAAATTTAGTAATAAATTTTGGTGATTAAATTTCAATTATATCATTAAATTTTGAATAGAGATTTTATGTGGTGTGTATCATTGATATCTTTTCTTTTCTTTTCTTTTTTTTGAAAGTACAGATATCTTAATTATATAAAATAATGACGTGATATGCTTAATTATATCAAATAATTACATGATATGCTTATTAAATAAGAGTATTATAATTAGACAAAATAAGATGGCAGGTGTAAAGTTGAAACGTCATAAGGTTTGATGTTCATAAGGTTTGATGTGGGATGTTTTTTTTACTACAACATGTGAGGATGGGACCGAACTCACACCCTCTTAATTAGAGATATATGACAATTAGCTGAGTCACCTTAGTTGACGATAGGATGCTTAATGATTGGGTTTGAAGGGAAAAATATTCTAGCCCAAATGCGGTAAGTTCTCAATACTCTAATTAAAAAGTTCTCCATCGATAGATTCAAATTCTCGCCAAAGCGAGAATAACTCGATGGTAATTGACATATATCTCCAACCACTAAGTCGAGTTTGATTCATCCCCACCTCACATGTCGTACTCAAGGAGTGAGTATGGACTTTGTAGGAGAAGGCTAAAGTTTGTGAGGCATGTAAAACTTTGATTGGTTTTTCAAAGCAAGTATTGTCCAAAGATTGTGATTCAAATTCTACCTAGAATAAGAACTTCTAGTCATCTACCTTCCTTTTCCTTTTCGCATATCAGGTGCACTCCTTTTCAAATAATAAAAAGAAAAAAATTATATCAGCTGGCCTCGAGAGAGGTTATTCGACTCGTTCTCCAGTCTCCTACGCAACTCAAGTGTGCAACTCCGTATGAGGATCTTTTTCCTTATGCCCAGATAATGATTAGTTTGGTGTTATTTCGATGCTTTATGGGAGGGGAAATGCTCCTAGCTGGGCAGTTTCCACCACTGTGGTTGGGAAAGTAATGAGAAAAAATGAAGCATTGAATGTAATGGAAGGATGCTTAAAGAAGGTATAGCCCTGATAGTGTGACATTTAACTATACTCTCCCAGATATTTTTTTTCAGCTCAACAACTGCAAGATGAAGATCAAACCGGTTGAGAACTCTTTTCTCCGGAATCTGTGCAATGTAAGGAAAACAGGGAGACCTGATAGGTTGGAGATTGTTGGCATTCACAAGGGGATTGAACCAGAGACCAGTAGAGTCCTACATTACAGTTTCTGGGTACACCATGTTAGGCAACAAGGTGGAAGGGAAAACGCCTGTGAATGAGATGTTGGATAAGGAATTCATACCTGATATTGCAGCATATAACAGGTTCGGGTTTATGGAACGGTGCATATGAGAAGTCTGTTGAAAGCTGATGTAGGGCAGAAGAAGATGAAGGTGTATTATTACACTCACATAAACACCTACAATTTCATCATGCAGCCAGACAACAATTTAATAGTTCATCTCTATGTTTATGAAAATAAAATCGACCCAGAAATGTTGTAGTCTCCACTCATATGTAATATAACCTGTCAAAACAGGAACCTTTGATGGGTAATTTTCATAGATGAACCGGAGAAACATGAAACAACATTGAAAGACCCACAATGCTCAAGAAATAAGGTGGGCAAAATCCGACGTAAAACTTATTAATAAGTCAGATGACTAGTTGTTTAACACAATAAAATGGTGATTATCAAATCATCAAGGAGACTATCATTCTTCCGATGGTCTTTGCCCCAAAACTGAAATGTCTTCGTACCGTTTCTGCAGCAAAGGGGGTAACAAAGTCAAAATTAAAAGCTAACATTCAGCCACGATCAATTCTTTTAGTAATAATTTGCAAGGTTCAAGTTCAACTTCGACCTCACAAATTGGCAACTAAATTTGCAAAATATTATGAATGGCAATAAACACCTCCAATAACATGAAAGGGAAAAGTTGAAAAGGGTGGAGAGGAAAACAATAAATAGACTCGGGAACAGAATAAAACTGAAGTCTAAGGGTTCCCTTGTTGAGGTTTTGATTTATATTTAAGAAGCATATACATTTAGTTTTGATAAACATTTCTGATTTCATGTTAATTGGTATCTTCTTCTTGTTTCTACTTTTCAAGAACATTGATCAAATTTCCATCTTTATTGTTTTGGTTCATAAATGACATAGCATATACAAAAATAAAAAGTGACAAAGTTCTCAACATTTTATTTTATTATCCGTAAAAAAGAGAATAAATAACCCAAAATGGTTCACAAACCTCATTCTATTTAAAAAAAAAAACGAGGAACAGAAATTAGGAGACAAAAACATCTCCAAATTGGCCCTAATCAAAAACTAACTTAACGGTTTACTGAGAAATTATGATTGATGATATGAGGAAGCGATATTCAGACTTCGATTCGATAACAGTTGCATAGAAGCTTAAACTATCACCATCTGAATATCTAATTAACAAATACAGAACCAAAGTCAAATTGAGTAATAGACATGCTTCAAATTAAAATTAAAATGAAAATCAAACCAAACGATAGTATATTACATACCCCAACATTATTGTATTCCCATAGCTTGTGAACTCCATAATCCACAGCCTACAGCAGGAAAACCAAAACCATTAAGAAAATAAGGATGATGTTCTAACACAACCCAGAAAACCAAAATAAAATAATTTAAAAGATAACTAGAGGAAAGGCAAGAGTCATTTTATAAGAAATAGAGGAATGCATATTCCGGGAATGGTACTGAACAATGAACGCAAAAACAGTCGATGACATTCTCGAAACTTCTAAAATGATGAAATACAGCATCCCTCAGATTTAACGAGATATCAGAAGCGGCAGGTTATGCAAGCCAACTTCATAATCCAAAAGGAAGGCCCACTAAAACTTTACACAGTTCATCTGACGGGAACGAAAAGAACGAGCAAATCGGTAGATCTTCTAAGTTACATAACCAATTTTCGCGTCCAGAGATCTCTTCACAAACGCAAAATCAAGTACTGAGTTTCTTCCAGAGGCGACTTCTGGCAGGCATGTCCGATTTCAATTCTTCTTTTCATTGTTCTCCGCAATGGAGGAATCGGTACAAATTCAACATGACGACAAAACGTTTAAAAAGAACAGTTCAATTCAGATTCAAACTTTTTCAACAAAGAGGAAATATTTCCTATATTCCAATTTCGCTAATTCCGATAAACCAATTGACACAGTAATACGGTCTATTGCCCATTGAAATCGTCTTTTTTTCCCCTCAATTCTTTCTATTCCTCAGCAATCAGGTGGCTAAAGACAATTAAACTAACAAAAGGAACTAAAGACATGGATTGGATGCACAATATAAAGATGAGTTCTGATCCATACCCGCTCTCCAACAAAAGCGCCGGCGATTATAAAGGTGACATAAACGGAATTCCGGCGCATGATTACTCTATAAAGCCCTTCAAGGAGGCCTCCTCCGCCCCTACGAGCTGCAGAATCCATGGGCGTGCTAAGTTGAACTTCTTCTTCCTCCTGATCTGAACAAGTTAGGGTTCGCAGAGCTCCCGCGACGTTGTTGAAGTTGAGACAAAACAATTGTCGGGGGAAAGTTCCTTTGGACTTTGGTTTTAGTTGATCGATTCGATTCAACCGCACCTCTAAAAATCGAACCGGCAATTGTGTTGCGGTTCTTAACAGTTCCCTATTATTATTTTTTAAAATTCTTTTAATACAACAGTAGCAGTGAATTCAAACTCGATTTCTTTGTAAAAAAACAAAAACAATGTCAATTAATACTGAACTAAGTTCATGTTGGCATATCTATCTATTTAATATTTAAAAATAAATAAATAAATATCAATTTTACCGAGATGCTCATATTACAGTTTGGATAAATATTGTAATTCTCATCTTCTATTCAACTTTCATTACACTTACCTCACAATTTTAATTAAAAAAAATTATGCCAAAGCTTCGGAGATTCATTAATTTTAATAAAAATCAAGTCTTACAAATTATGTTCCACGAATGGACAAAATTTATCATTGAATAAATATAAAAAAAAAACTCATAAATTTTAATAAAAATCTACCATTACAATTTTGTCTCTCTAAAGCTCTATCAATTTCCTAAGATGCCCATGTGTTTGTTATTTATTGATTGCAGGTGAGAATGTTTTTGTTAGTGTTTTTTCCGAAAGTAATGCAAAAATTGCAATACTTTGGTGAGATTGCATATCCAATTCTCTAGATCCGATTCGATGAAATTGAAAATTTATCAGGAATATTTTATACACATTGAGGCAAGGGTAAAACTTGAATTTTTCAAGAAGAAAAAAAAAACTATAGACATTGTAAAGGTTAAATTATAAACTTATCAACAAAATTTTTAAATTTATTTTATTTTAGTCGTACCTTTAACATTGCTCTCTCAACAAATCAAATAACGAGTGACATAACTTCTTATATGTATTAACATATTAATATAGACATATATCGAAACTACGTAAATTTATGTTAAAGACTAGCGATCCCATATATTTGATAAATATATTGGTAAGGAGGGCCTGTTTCAAAACATGCTTTAAATGATTTTTTTTTTTTTGTTGGAAGTAAAAGTAATGGGAATGGTGGTAATTAAAGTCAAGATTGGCACAATTTTATGAGAAATGTGGAAAGAAAACCAAACCCCACCACTCCCTAGTGATCAATAGTGATGTCTGGAAAATTCAAAATAATGACTCAATAGAGCACACCTTAATCGTGTTAATAATGAAGAATTATTAACACCTTCGATTCATCGCCATACTTTTCAAATTTAAATTTTGGTTCATGCAATTTAGATATATCTTTAATTTCATCTCTCTCTATCCTTTTAAAATTTTCAATTTTATATGGTAGTTTTATAAGTTCTCACTTGATCGATTGAATTTGGTTAAACTTTATAAATGGTCTCTAAATCGTTTTACTTCTAGAAAATTCACTCGTTTTGTTCTATTTTTCACTCAACCTAAATGTCAAATAGTAAGTTAAAAAAGAAAAAAAAATTACTAACTCATTATGGTGCAAATAGAAAATGTGTCACTTTAAGAATTAATGGTGAAGTTTACTTCTAAAAAATTCACTCGTTTTGTTCTATTTTTCACTCAACCTAAATGTCAAATAGTAAGTTAAAAAAGAAAAAAAAAATTACTAACTCATTATGGTGCAAATAGAAAATGTGTCACATTAGTAAAAGTAAGAATTAATGGTGAAGTTTAACCAGATTATAGAGATTAAATTGAAATTTTAAAAATAATATTGGCTAAATTAAAATTAAGCCACCAAAATGAACATAATTCAACAGTTAAAACATCTTGTTCAGAAAGTAAGTTCAATCCACGTTCTCATCCCCACATTTGTCGTACTAAAAAAAATTAAAATAAAGTCTTTGGATGAAATTTGCAATCGAACACTTAGGTAACGTTTGGAATGAGAATCAATGAACAAGAATTAAAATTTTGGTGTTTACTAGATATGAATGAAATCAATTGGTGAGATCTAATTTATCTTCTATAACCTCGTYAATTTTATTCTCATTCTTTATTCTGTGGACCCTACAGTTTTATACTTGCTACTTTACAACTTTTACTCTTTCCAACAGGGACACGTTAATTTTTAATTATTTATTTTATATTATTATTATTTTCTAATAAAAATTTTACAACTTTTAGTGTTTTTATTATAAAATATTATAAGTTTTTATTTAATTTTACTTTGATATTGTTAATTAATATGGAAGATATTTTATTTCGATTCTAAAAGATTTATAGTAAAGAACATCAAATGGATAACATTTTCGTTTCTATTGATCGGTACAAGTAAACAAATTTTTATTAATTTTTATTCTATAGTTATGTTGAAGAGAGGTTGTGTCTAGCTGGCCAATAAACGTCAAATAGAGGCAGCTAAGTGGTAAGGTTAGCAATTGGCAGAGTGAATGCCGCCGCCAGAAATGAAAATTGAAAAAAAAAAAGGAGAAACATACAACACACAGACTTCAGCCGCCGGGAACTAATTCAAAAGCAACAAATTATAAGGTTTCATGAACTTCATTTCTTGGAAATTACACATGCAACTGCAAATTCTTCTTTTTCTTTATGAACCTTAAAGTTAAAAGAACAAAATACACATTCTTTCTTGAGAATAATTTTTATTTACTCCAATTCTTTGGGTTGTCATAATTCATGTTACAATGTTCTGTCTCAAATCAAGTAGTAGGAATATGAACTCCTAATATTTAAAAAATAAATAAATTACCTGCACCTAAATTAGTTGAACTATGGTATATATAAAGATTAATTAAAGGATGCATATCAAATCAATATTCAATTTAGTAGGAGAGTTCGAGATCTTGATAGTTTCTAGATATTGAATTAACTTTTAGTCGTTTAGTGTTATAAAAGGCTAGCTACTATCTCCTACAAATTTTGCCTACATGAGGAACGGTTAAGACATATCTACTTTCTCTAAAAGGAAAGATGCAGTAGGCTCCAAATCTCTACCTCAGATGATGTAGTATTCTGAAAAAAAATTCCCACAATTTAATATATATCAATTAATTATTCCATTCCAAACTATATCATCACACAATTTACAACATATATATAATTTTTATTATTATTATTGAACGAATTTCCCACCCCACTAATTTAGCGAATCAATTTTTAATCAAAAAAGAAAAAGAAGAAAAGAAAAGTCAAGAAACACGTAAATTCATAACATATGGTCCACTTTTACAATCAAATCTTCTGGTGTGTTTGCAAGTAATTTTAATGTAGTTAAAATCATTTTTGTCATAGTCAAAAATCACTTTCCCTATCATTGATCATGTTTGACAAATTAAAAAGTTAATTTTAGGAAAGTTCAAAGTCACTTTAAATTGATTTTTAAGGTATTACTTGGATGGTGATTTTGAAAAATTAATTACAATTAAATCTATTTTTTCAAAATCATTAATTCTACCAATACTCCTAAATATACACTTAATATTATTCTTTAACTATAATGAGACCAAAAATAAATCTAACCCAAAATTAATATGTTTCCGCATAAGATTAAAAAAATATATAAGGATGAAAACGTAAGATATGCACAGGAGTAAGAAGTAGAATAAGATATTTCTCAGAAAAAAAAAAAAGTAAGAATAAGATTTAAAATTTTCTTCTTAGTTATAAACAAATAAAAATAATCCACAATGATCCAAAGATTGAGAAACTGACCATCTTTAATTAATTAATATGGTTTCAGCATCACAAAAATAATATAGATGCATTGAATCTTGATGTCATACAGTTTTCCTTTTCTTTCCAACAACCGAAATTTAATTTATACAAGAAATAAACTACGTACAAAGAAATGCAAAGTTTGGTCAAGGCACAATTGAGAAGGTAAACCAAAATATCTGATTATTAAAGAAAAAAGTATCGCATCATGATCATGGGCGAATATACACAAACTACTCATTCCAAAAACTCTATCTACAAAATCGAAGCCAAAAGATTGCAGTAAAACCAAAACAAACAAAAAAAAATAACAAAAAGAAAAAGGATTACGGATGGAATAATCGATGTTTTACCTTTCAACCACATTGAAGAAGAAAAATTCTCTCTCGTGTTGTTAAAACTTCAAACCGCCAGTTCATCGAAATTCCAAACGACAATTTGAGAGCGGAGTCGGTGCTACGAGTAAACATCCAAATCACGGCTGAAATCTTCATCCTGCGGCGGGCCCCTTGCATGGCGGAAGAGTCAAATCTCACGCCTACGCCACGACTACACCGGCCTCGCTTACGCTCCACGAACTAGACCTCCTTCCCGACGCGAACCGCGGCAAACCGCCCAAGGCCGGCGGTTCGATTTCGTCGCTGATCTTGCTTGGAAGCGGCTCCGTCGGCGGCGGATTAGCGGCGGAAGGAGTCGCGTGACGCGCTATGATGTCCTGTTCGGGAGGCGAGTCAATGAGTGACGCGGTTGGTTCGACGACCGGTTGCCTTCTTCCACCGCTCCGGAAAATAGCGCGGAAACTCGCGAAGAGTCCTTTCTTTTGTTTCTCGACTGTTTTCTCCTTTGCGGTGGCCAATTCTGAAGAGTGGAGGTGGTGATTCTTCCGCCGATTTCGGTCCTTCTTCGATCTTACTTTCCCCATACACGATACCTTGGGAGACGACGGCTCGATCATCGCCGAAACGGACTTTCCACCGGATCCTGACCGCTTCGGGAACAACCGAATGTTTCCGGACTTGCAGTTACGCCGATTCTTCGCGTCGACATAGGCAGTATTCTGAGGCTTCGGCAATCCGATAATCGAAGCCTTCGATTTCAAATTCAGCGAAAACCGCTGCGAGTTCGAATTGGATTGCGGATGCACATTAGGATTCAAGTTCGCGGAATTAGAACTGGCCTTAGTGGATTCTTTCCGCTCTAAGAAAGCGTTCCGATCGAACCAGTCGAACTCCGCGTCCTTCGAGAGCCAGAAAGATTCCGGCGGGAAGTCAGGAGGAACCTCCGGTCGATCTGGCTCCTCCGTCTCGTCCTCCAATGGCAGCCGCTCTCCGTCGCCGTCGGGTTTCCGGTCGTCAGCAACAGAGCCGCTAAAAAAAGCCTGTAAATCGCCCTGGGGCATGGTTGAAAAGAAATCAAAAAGGGGAAAGAAATTGAAAAGAGAGAGAATCGAGAGGGAACAAATTCTTGAAGACGAAGAGTATGAATGAATGAGAATGATGAGATCCTTTTTCCCTGTCTTCTTCGGTGTGCTCCGTCTCCGTGCGCCAATTTGGTGAACAAAAAGGCTCTTTAATTTAAATGGTTGGTTTGTAATTATAGCAATATTTTTGTCTAATTACAAAGGATTAGACATTATTATTACTACTTAATTCTTTTTCTCTCTTCCACAAAATTATTTCTTTTGAATATTAATGGGTAGATTCAAAGCTACGATCCTTTGGACCCACTTGATTTTAATTTTAGTTTTTTCCGTCAAATTTATCTCCTTATATTAATAGTAACATAATTATACGATTAAGCTGAGTGTCGGGAAGCTACAACAGTGGCAAGTATTTTAATAGTTTGATTGTCAACTCGAACATAGTTCAATGGATTAAGACATCATAAATCCTCGGTCAAAATATGATGTCTAGTTTATAGGTAAAATCATGTTGCGATAAACTCGTGTYGTGGTTGAGCAAAGTCTCTTGCTCGAGTTTAGAAGGCTACAAAGGCTTTAGGTATTCCATTATTTTCTAGCATATGAGCCCAACTCCAACACATAAAGAGTATAGGCATAAGACAAGCTTTATTGTCAATGCACAGTGCATGCTTAACGAGTGATCTCTAGTTTGCTTAACTTAGGAGTATAGGTGAGCAAATATTACTAATATCTAAAATTTTCAAAGTTAGATTTTTCTATTTAAAGATTTTTTTTGTTTAATATCGATTTGGTAATTGTTTTTTGTTCTTTCCTTTTTATTGAAAAAAGAAAACATATTTGATGATCATTTATTTTTGTTTGTTCTCTCAAAATTTAGATTAAAAAAAAAAAGTAAAGTTCTACATAAAATGTAATTTTACAAATTAAATATTTAAATGTTTTATTTACATTTATTATGCATTTTAAAAAATATATCTATATTAAAAAAAACTGGAAACAAGGGTAAAAAAAAACAAGAAACTTGACTTTGTTGTTTCCAAATTTCTACCGAACTAAAAACACATTTTTTAATAAGAAACAAAAGACAAAAAACAATTATCAAGCACTTATATTTTTTTTTCCAATAAAAAGGGGAAACATCATCGACGGTAAAAGTCATGTGCTCTTATATAACATGTGTAAATCTAGAAATTCAATCGTGTAAAAGAAAATTCTTCACCTATTCAGGTATAAATAAATAAAATAATTGAAAAAAAAACCATGAAATAACAAGGAAAAAAAGGAAAAACTTCAACATATCAAATGACTATTTAGAACAACAAAAAAGAAAGAGAGAGGGAAGCAAGCATGCACCGACTTTTCATTCTTAGAAAAAGAATCTCAATGAAAATTTTATTGTGAAAATAATATTAAAATCTAAAATATTTGTGAAATAATAATATTGAATATTTTTATTTTTTTGTGAATTGAATAAAATTATAATTTTTAATGGTTCATTTAAGATAAAAACCACATGAATATTGATATAATATGAGAGCCCAAAATTCAAACAAACATCCGATTAAAAATATTTGAATTCACGACCTTCCGTTGTAACAAAAATGCTTTAATTAGCTCAAGTATATTCAGGTGGAAACAATCTGCCATTTGGATTGAAGTTTTTGGCCATATTTTAGATTTTGGTAGTTTATAATTTGTCGTACAAATTTAGGCTGTCAATTTTTAATTAACCATTTATCAAAAAATTAAATTTTTACACCTCAGCAATTGCCTTTCATAGTAATTGTCGCATTTTTTCATAATTAAAATTACTTGACTCTTGACCATTCTCGTGCACCATTTTTTTTTCTGTAGTATTTTATTTCCAAATAAATGATTATCATACATGACATTTGCTCTATTTTTTATCATATTGAGATTATTCTAAATCAAAATTTTTATATTATTATTATTTGTAATTTCTACTAAAACAAATTGACCAATCAAGACAAAAGAAAAAGGTATTTCATACTCAATTTAACTTAACTGTCCGCACAACTCAACTCAACTCAACTCAACCTGCTCTCAAAAAAAAAAAAAAATCTCAACTCAACCTGTATTATATAACCACCATACCATTTTAGTAAGGTAGTATAACTAGACCAATAAAAATTTAAATAAGCACTCTAAAGTTTGTTTGTTAATTGTTTAAGATTCTTATTTCTCATTTTTTTAGAAGCATTTCTAAAATTGTGTAGAAAATTTAGAGCTCGTCTAATAACGTTCCTATTTTTTGTTTTTTATGTCGGTTGTTTCTTAGTTTTTAGAAACATTTTAAAAATTGTATAGAAATTTTTTTGAAACATTAAAAATAAGTTTCTTATTTCTTATTACCATTTCCAATTTATTCCAACATTAAAAAAAAACTTATTTTATCATTATTGAATCCACAATGTTGAGAGTTATGCAATCTATTTTTCTTTATTAAAAAAAGAGAAAAAAAAAAACTTACCAAATGGACATTGGAAACACCAGAGCCTTGTTTTTTGTTTTTTATGTTTCTCTCCAAATTTTCCCAAAACATAAACAAAAACATCATTTTATCCTTCTTAACCTACAAAATACTTCATAAATATTAAAAAGTAAATATAACATTAAAAATTTAATATTTAATTTTTACCAACACATAACTCAACGATAATGAACATATATTAGTTAACTCGAGGTCGGAGGTACAATTCCCCATATCTCCAAATTGTTGTAATAAATATTAATTTTCATATCTTTACTTGTTTAATTAAATTTCTAGAGAACAACAAACAAGAAATGATTATCAAATACGTTCCGTTTATTTTTTTTCTAAACAAAAATAAAATAACAAAAAAAATAAAAAACAGTTATCAAACACAATTCTATTTTTCTTTATAAAAAAAGAGTAGATGAAAAACTAGAAATAGGAAATGAGAAACAGAAAATATAAAATACAGTCTGTAATCTTTTCACTTTCAAGTTTCATCTATGCAACCCATACCCGCTAGGTTGGAGGAATGAATTAAGAATACTCAAATAATTGAAATTGGAAGATTTGAATTTTTTATTTTATATATAAATATTTATTTATTGATGCCTAAAATATTTAACTACTTATGCAAATAATTCTTTATAAATAATACGGCTAATTCACAATAACTCGTGTTAGGCTTATAGACTTTTCAATGGCTAAATGTCAAGAATTTTTTTGGCAGTTGTACTTGCCCATCCGATATATAACAGCCTAATTTTATGGAAAAGTCAATGGTAATGTTTGACTTTTGGTTACATACAAATCTTTGTTTCTCTCTCTTCATGTGCCATTCTCTCTTTTTTATCCTCTTTGACCACACTCAGTTACTGTTTTCCAAACCTAACTTCCAAAATTGGTTGATTACATTATTTAATTTTTATTCAATAATATAATAGTAAATATATTCCTACTTTTTACAAAAATAGTATATTTTGTAATTTATGAATATTTGTTTATTCCATTTATCTTTTTACAACATTATTATAGCTTAACTTATCGAACCATTACTTTTCTAAAGATCTAAGATTCAAATTTCTCAACTATTTGAGTAGGAATTATATAAATTCTTAAATATTAAAGATTTAAAAAGAGAGAGTTTTGGTTCGGATAGAACCGTTCATAGAATAGCAATAGAAAAATCCAGACATTACATTGTAGTAATCATAGTGGAATACATGTGGCAAATAACTTTATTTTTCATGCCAAAACGAAATTAATACGAGTAATATCAAAATGAATGAAATCTACAAGAATTGGTACCAAGTAGAACATGGTTCATTCAAAAGGGTGAGTCTACATAAAATTAGAGTCTCGTCCCTTCTCTTCTCTTCTCTTCTCTTCTCTTCCTATGTATAATTTTGTATTCACATCATTTAAATTATCAATATGAGCACTAAGAACTAAGTATAAAACTTAAAATAAGGAATTACAACATATGTGGGGCCATCTTACACTAGCAAACTCATGGTTGGATCAATCGACACTTTTCCAATGTTCCAAATCACAAATTTGGAGGATATAGACTTGTTCTTCGTGGTTGTCCTTCTAGTTCTCTTTCTAAACAAAATAAGAGTCAAAAAGGGGCCTAAGGTTTTCTTTCATTGTGCTCCAATTCCATTTGGATCCACATCAATCGAGGATCTAAGTCGCGGGTGAACTATTATAGTGTTTGTATGCAATATCCAAGTCTTCTTTTGATGTTTTTGACTCAGCCCCAAATTTTCTTAAGATACTTTTTCTGAAGGAATGAAAAGAATCTCCAAATACGATGTTTCTATGATTAATTTGATGGCCCAAATCCTAATCTTAGTAGAAGCATCTAATATTATACAAAGCAGTAAATAACAGTTCCAATTACGTTACCTAGATCTGGAACGTTGTTTGTGACAAAATTACAGAACAAGAAAATTGGAATATCTAAAGTGATGGAAAGTAAAAGCATCCAAGCAGAAACAACGAATAGAGAGCAGCATTAACCTGAATTTCCGATGCATCTCTCGATAAGCTTATAATTAGTTTCCACTCCCAAAACCTCGAGGACTAGGCCTTGTTCCTGAGTTTACAAACTGCCTCCGTGATTCAGATCTTCGCTTCCTTCGGGCGGTACCAGGAGGAGCCTGATCAGGACACAACCATGTATCATTCACATTGAATAGGGACATCGTACTCAAAACAAAAATTGAATAATCGATCAAGAGAAAAGTTCAGTTTTCCAAGATAGAACTGTAATATATAGATCAAATATAGAGGAAAGGAAAACAAACGGGGAACCTTTTGTTCGGCTTTAAGAGCTTCTTCAAGATTGTTCAATGCAGGAATGGACCCACCCTCCATCACACCCATCAAATTCTTCATGCGAACACGCATTTGGAACAGTTGAGCCACAAGCTGACTCACCTAGTATTTGATAAAATCATCTTCGTAAGTGGATTCCCACATTATTTGAGGTGGAGACGGAGAGGGGGAGTGCTAAGATGGAAAGGATGAACAATTTTAACATAAAATAAGAACTCAGCATACCTGCTGCTCTGTTTTCCCCGATTCTTGAGCAATTCTTTTCCTCCTTGCAGGTGATTCTGCCAACAATTCTGGCTTCTCCCTTTCCTCTGCCATTAAACAAGTGAAAAGTTGTCAGATAGAAAAGGTTCAGTAAGTAAGGATTATAAGAAAGGCAGAAAGAACATATTTGATGCATTTGAATAGG